TAGATCTCTTTCTCTCTCCGAGTTTGCACACTCAATAATAGTCAAAAAGTTGGCTTACAAATCTACTTTAGTTACCAACTCGCTTTAACTTAATACATAACATAATCGATTCAATTCATTAGAAATCACTAAAACTTTTAAATCTCGTTCAATTCCAATATCACTCACCCATTTACGCCATCTCTTTACTGTTGTAAATGCATTGAACACTCTCACAAATATAAATATTAAGGAGTTAAATAATCATTGTCAATTATCATCTTCTCCTCTTTAATTCTTGTCTCCCAAATACGGCGTTTATGATAGATAATTATTCTTTATTCATTTCATCGTAATTTTAATTATTGTTATTTTAAATTTATTTATTTATTTCAAGTGGCAAATTGTAATAGCCGTCTTAATTCAGAATCTTTTAAACAGCAAGCATTAAAAAAATACCGTTCTAAATACGAAAGGATCGTAAAAAATTATGAATTTCAATTTTTAATAGGTAACACAAACCATATACCATTGTTAAAAGAGGAATACGTAATATATACCACACGATTATATCAATATCGGTATAAATTAAAAAAAGTACATGTATTAGCATCGAACTATACGGGCTCTTGTATTCTTTTTTTTTGTTTTGTTTGTTACAGTCAGCGTCGGTTATAATGGTATGGTGCATACCACTTGTACATACAGCACCATTACATGTTCATGTACATATATGCACTTATATGAGAACAACAAAAGTCGTCAAGTAATATTTTATATGAATAAAGCACATAACGGATCTGAAAAAAATCAATCTTTATAACGAATCTCCGCTATAACGTAACAGAAATTCCGTTCCGACACTTCGCTGCTTATAACACGGGATCCGGTTTAACAGGGTCCGTTGTAACGAACATATTTTATTAATTATTAATGAATCCGATCAAGTATTTATGTATATTAGAATCTTAAGCCTTAATGATTTCATAATACTTTCTTTTTAAATTTGGATACTGCCGTTGTCAAGATTGAACAAGTAAAATTCAATAAAAAATTGCTAGAGCAAATAAACAATACTTATCATAAACTCTATAGTTTTACCATGCAGCTTTTATCTCATGAATAATGCTGTGTTTGGGAGCAATAGTAAATTCTTTGTTTGGTTTTCTTACGTTAGCATCATGGCTATAGCTTATGTCACCTTGCTCCATAGCGCATAACATTCCTCCGTTTAAGCGGTCTCTTAATTCACGATATAATTTTATTGGTGATCCAACTTGTTCACTTACAAATATCTTTATAATACCGACCTCTCATATCGACAATATACTTATGTAATAAAACACTCATGCGAAATATATATATAGGCACGTGTAAGAAATGATTATCACTATCGTAGGGGTGAAATTTGTACTAATCTATCTTTACATTACCATTGCTCTTTTATAAATACATACCCTTACACTTACTTCTATTTATTTACCTTTGCTTCTTACTTTTACGCATCTGCATAAATCCTCATTAATATTAATGTAAAGTTGAGTTTGTTTAATTAATGTAATTTATTAAACTTCCAAAAATGAACGAAATTTTTGAAGTTCTCGAAAAGGCAATGACAATGATTATTTGATGACAAAAGAATGAAATGAAGAAATATTTATTGTGAAAAAGATC